TGCTGGGTTTCTGTGGGGTTTTTTCTAGGAGAAAAATTATTCTTCCATTACAGAAGCTTTATAGGATTCCTACCTTTCCATTGAGGATTGCAACTGAATTTCCAAAACAAATACAAATCTTGCAATGACACCTACACTGTCTTTTGAAATTTACTAGCACAGCATGACCTGTGAGTTTATTTATATAAAGTTTGTCTGCAAATAGTTCATCCTCCTTTTAACCAGATTTGTTCCTCTGTTGTTTCGTTCCTCTGTTGTTTTATGCCCAATCTTCTCCCAACTTTAAATCAGAAGTCTTAAGGATTGCTCTTGCCTTACTTGACACGCTGCTTGAAAAGTCAGGGACAGTCATTTTCAGCTGTTAACATACCTTTACTCAAGGAAACTAGAATATGTCTTTAATTTTTCTCTTTTGCTGTCATCATCACTGCTAAAAGTCTTAATAAATATACCTAACGACTCTTAAATGTTTTTGCTTTTATCAGAGATCTTCCTGCTCAAGAAACCTCTATAAAATTGCACTCTGGTAAAAAAGCCCTGTACACAGTAGGTTTAGCTGTGTCAGACAGTAACTTAATGTTATGGATAATGGTTTTGGGTTTTTTGTTTGTTTAAGAAATGCTGTTTTCTATGTAGTATGAAAATCCTCTGTCCTGCTCTTAATTCCCTTACATTTTGTTATGCATTGTACCCTGTGGATGAAGGATGGTTTCCAGTTAATCTTCAGAAAACCTGACTAAGTCATTACCTCTGTTTTGGAAAGAAAATAAAATATATTGGAGACCTTTCTTCCACCCTTCTGAAAGGAGCTTTATTACAGCAGTTTATCAGGCTGCAGGCTGACACAACCACAGCTCTAACAGGCTCACTCAGCCTAACTTCAAGGACTGTCTGAAACATTTGACTTAATGAAGAGTACATAATGGCTTGAGCATGCTATGAAGTTCTAGAAAAATCATTTGTGGATGGCTCTTTACTCAGACTGCTGTTAAGGGAAGATCACAAATGCTTCTTCTCTGTTAAATAGACAGCAAAGTATAAAGAAACATAGCTGCAGAAATATCTTGCTAACAGTCTTTCTGCTCTCTCTGTAGAATCAGTGCTTAGTTCAAAGCTTTTATTAGTCTTACAGTTGGACATAAATTTAATAGAAAAAACTAGTTACCTGCACCAGAGCAAGATGCAATGCTGTAGAAGACATTCAGAAGTGCTATGGTAGCTGATGTACAACTTCCATACAGACAAGAGTTCAGGCACATTTTATCACCAGAAATGATTCTCTGAAGGATTCTAAAGCATTGACTAGCTTTACCTTGCACTCCTTTACAGCTTTTTAGAATTTGTGTGCAACAGTGACTTGTGATACTGCAACTGGAATGCTGTTACAGTCCCACTACAAGGCTAACATCCCAATACACTGGAAGTTGGGGTTGTTCAGCCTGGGGAAGAGAAGGTTGTGTGGAGACCTCAGAGCACCTTCCAGGAGCTGAAGGGGCTCCAGGGAAGCTGCAGAGGGATCTGTGTTAGGAGCTGCAGGGACAGGACAAGGGGCAATGGGCACAAATTGAAAGAGGGAAATTTAGCTTAGATACTAGGAAAGAGTTTTTTCCTGTGAGGGTGGTGAGACACTGCTCCAGGTTGCCCAAAGAGGTAGTGGAAACCCCAACCCTGGCAGTGTTCAAAGCCAAGTTGGATGAAGCCTTGAGCAACATGCTCTGGTGGGAGGTGTCCCTGCCCAGGGCAGGGGGTTGAGGCTGGATGATCCCTAAGGTCTATTCCAACCCCTAAAATTCCAAGAATCACAGATTCAAAGTAAGGGACTTTGGCAACTGAGAAGTGGAACTACAGTTTAAGAAACAAGGACTGTATGCCAAACAGCCAGAGCTGTTTATTTGAGTTACAGGCATAGGGATGGGTTTTTGTCTTACTATATAGATGCCAGGGTAGCAGGGGAAGTCTCTCCCACTGCTGTAGTCACTAGAGTAGCAAGTAATCAGGTTTTTCCTGCAGTGAAAAAAGTACCTCAAACTGCTTGGTAAGATACCCTTACAGTGCAAATTTTATTCCATTAGTAGAATCTCGTATTTACTATTAAGGCAAGAAAACAGACTTCTTGATCAGCAAGTAAAATGTAGACTTTAATACAAAAGAACAGCAGTGATGTTGTGAACAATTTATGCATAGGTAATTCACCACAAGTCAGTTCACACGTGACATTCTTCACCGTTTGACTGTAATACTAATATTGCTTTTATGGTGTTGAACATCAAGCACAAGTTCATCTCCAACCTGAACTGGGATGGGCTCATCCAGAACAACTGCAGCTTGTTTCCAGTGTGAGGACTCATCTGACGTGTTCAAGCTGTGCTCTTCATCTAGGTGGATGTGATACCAGAAGGGAATTGCAGTGACCTGGCCAGACTTGCAAATTTGTACCTAAAAATATTTAGAATATTAGTTTAATTGGTTACACCATTTTCTGGACTGGATGATCTTTGAGGTGTCTTCCAACCTGGTTGATTCTATGATTCTTACTTCTTTGAAAAGGAAGTAATTCAAACCACTTCAATCCTTTTCAGGGATACCTGCAGACAAGTCAATTCTGCACTGCCATTTTCAGCCCTGGTAAGCCATTAAGGAGCAGCTGTGCAGAACAGCAGTTAGAACATGCTTCTGGTTTCATGTACACTCAAAACTCAC